TACCTAACCTAACCTAACACCTAATGGAGTTTTCAATAATATACAAACAATATTTACACTACAGGACTTAAACGAATTCGTAATAGTGTAATTATTATTTAATTATGAAACTAATTTAAAACGTTTTAATATACGAACAATTTTATAAATATTGTCGTCAAGAATTAAAAACTACAAGAGAACTACTAAGTCATTTTTTTTATGTTCTAGGGACTTACCCTCACTTTTCTCGGTTGCGTTCCTTGGTGCCTAACAGCAGCCTATGTGCTACTTCAGGTCCATTCTCTATCTACATAATATGTACCTACTAAATATCTTCCAAATCCATGTTCTAATAAAAAGACTACATATATATAAATTTTCGCCTTTATTATAGTTGTTTGATTCCTGAAAGTCGGATATTTTCAATTGTTCAATCATAATTCCAAATTAATACATTTATTGTATATATATTGAGTTATAATATTGTTCTTTGAAGGCGTCGAGGTCTTAATCCATTATAATTTTTACCTTACTTTAAATCTTACATCCTAAATTAAAGGCCTCACAGAAGTTTTTCTCAGCTAACATTTACATTTAATATTAATTAAAAAAAAATATTCAACAGGTGTTTTTTCTTATTGTTGTTTTTAAATATTTTTCTTACTGGAAGAGTTTAAATGCCGGACGTATAATGAAAGGCTTATATTATCAAAAGATAATTCGTTGATAGCATATCAGACATTATTATTCTCTTAATAAAAGGTACTATTTCAACAACAGTAGTATATTTTACGATAAAAACAATTTAAAAATCAATAGAATTAAAAATAAAGCTAGCAGTACGCGCGGCTTCGCCCGCGTTTAAACTTCTGATGTAAATATCAGTTTTACTATGTATGGAAGTCTGACCGATTTGTTGACAACTAACTAAAACTATCTTTTCAGATTTTTCGCGGATTTATTTTTATTTTTAATACCCGACGTTTTGGAAATTTTATAGCAAATATGGTCATAGAAGAGACTAAAAGTTATTATATACATAGTTATTGCAGACACCTACCCACAAAATTATACAATAATTTGGAAGAAATGAGAATGAGCACTTAAGTAAATTACAGTTTAAAAACAAATTGTGTTGCTGTTGTTCAACAATTTGAAATTATTTAATATTGGTTTTTATTTTGACAATATTGTGATTCTGTGAAACATTTTTAATTATTCTATTTAGTACTGGCGGCTCACCCTTGCTTCGCTCAGGCTCGGTCCTAGAAAAACAAAAAGAAATCTATCCCACGGGAACCGTACTTTTTTTTCGGGATAACAAGTAGCCTATGTGTTATTATGATGTATGAGCTATATTATCAACTGCCTCGGTGGTGTAGTGGCTAGCATGTACGGCTGCACACTCGGAGGTCCTGGGTTCGAGTCCCGGGCCGGGCCAAGTTTAGTTATTGAGTCTTTCTGTATAGTAAGTCTCAGTAACAGCCCGGAGTTGGGAAGTTGGCGGTGTTTCACCCCCGTGCCTCGGAGAGCACGTAAAGCTGTCGGTCCTGCGCCTTAACTCTCACTGGTCGTGTCGAGCAGTCGTCCCACCGGTATAAGAGTGACAGGAATAGAAAGTGCACCTGTGTCTGCGCGTACACTTGTGCACTATAATATCTCCTGCGCAGTTGGCTAGTCTCAATGAGATTGGCCGCCGTGGCCGGAATCGGCTAGGAGAACATCATCATCATAATATTATTGTAAAGTTTCATTAAAATCCATTCTGTACTTTTTACGTGAAAGAGTAACAAACATCCATACATCTACACATCCAAACATTCATACATCTTCACAAACTTTCGTATTTATAATATTAGTAGAATTGCTACGTATCATTTTGTACAATTTAAAAATATAATTTACTTTATTTAGAACTAATATATAAAATACATACACTGGCAACTCTTGTTCTAAATTTCAAGCTCTAAGCTCAGCGGTTTAGGTCATATTGCCTATGAGTGAGTAATTTAATAGCTTTTAACCCATTTGTGTACCGTACAGTGTTTTACCTGTTGTTTAACGATTAAAATCGCATTTAATAATCAATAAGCTTTATAAAAACTTATAAAAACGATAAAGGCTGGAATAATTACTTTAAAAGTTGTAAATTATTGAATTGTACCAAAAGTCAAAAAATATCGTTTTAGTTATTTTTCTTGTATCTATGTCTTAGAGAACCTAGCAAGTTTTCGAAAGACATGTGAAGTCCGCCAACCCGCACTTGGCCAGCGTGGTGGACTATGGCCTGATCCCACTCGTATTTAAGGGAGGCCCGTGCCCAGCAGTGGGACGTTAAAAAAGGGCTGAATACATAGGCATATTTTTAAGTCAATAAGAAAATAGGACACCTAATGTATGCGAAAGATATATATGTAAAAAAATAAAATATCTGACTGCATAAAAAAAACGAAAAAGACAGGAACAAGTTGACAAAGGAACATGTATTATGCAGTCGGAGACAATTATGTATGTACATGTTTCATAGTTGCTGCGGGTCTTGCTAAAAGTATATATTATATACCCACTCAATAGGTTTGGAAGAAATATTTTAAAAGACAAATTGGCGCCCGCAATCTGCCATTTTGATTTTTAAGTATTTTTATATAGCCTATGACACTTGCATTATCCAGATCGAATCTAACGACGTAAGAATCATTACAATCGGCTAAGCCGTTTAGTATTTACAAGGGATCATAGGAATGGATATACATAAATACATACAGGTCAAACACATAACCCTCCTTTAGGCTTCACCGCATTCGAGTAAAAAGAGATGGCAAAGTCATTTGGAGTAAATAATCAGACAACAAACTGCGACTTTGATATAAAATAAACAAATAGTCCTAAGTATTAATTGATCGAAACTTTGTCTCGAAAGATAAAAATTAAACACGCACTTTATAGATAAATAATAATTATCGTAATTAAAATAATATAATACAAACAGTTATTTTTTTATAATAATATTGTTAACTAGCGGCTCACCCTCGCTTCGCTCGGGTTCGCCGCTAGGTACGTTTTGGATAGATATAAATAGTTATTAGCCAGCGTTAGCCATATAAATTTTAATTTTTGTTCGTTAATTTTCGTAGGGGTCCCTATTTTTTTTTATAGTAAAATAACAAAAAAACAGCCCTTGTTACTCGCTGATAATGTAGCTTTCTATAGGTGAAAGAAAATGAGATTAATCACTACAAAAAAACATACAAAAATCTAATCTTTTCTCTATATAATATTAGTTTCGGTTAACATAATATGTAAACATATTACGTTTCTCGAAAGAAAAATTTGCAAACAAGTAAATAATATACATATAATAAAATTGTAACTAAGCCGAATCTGTACATTAAATATTTTTTGGAAAATCTTATTGTTATAAACATTATTATCAATACACAGGCCGAATCTATAGCTTTAAGAATTGTTTTCTTTCTGTCTGTCTGTCCGTTACCGCATCACAGAAAAACCACTGGAGGGATTTTGATGAAATTTGGTATGGTGATAGCTGGTTATCCGGGTCAACATATAGGATACTTTTTACCGCGGGAAAATGTCTCATTTCTGAGAAAAAATACAAAAACTCCAATGTAAGAGTATACTAATATGTAAAACCTAAAAATTGGCGCGCCACCGTGGTGGACTATGACCTGATCCCCCTCGTATTGGGAGGCCCGTGCCCAGCAGTGGGACGTTAAAAAGGGTTGGATACTACTATGCACGTAGGCTACTAGTAAGCACGTAGGGAAACGAGAATAATTTATATACATAATAGTAGGGGAGCCCAAGAGGGGATTTTCTGTAGTTACTCAAGCGCGGCAGATTAACATAAAAGAGGTTACCTTGCACTCTATTGAGTACTTTCACCATAATATAAGTCTTCTATATAAAGTAAGTAAGTAGTAACTACAAAAATCCCCTCTTGGGCTCCCCTACCATAAAAGAGGGAGACAAGATATAGGAATATAAAATATATGTGAATGCTATCATTTATTCTTTACAAATGTAATGATAAAGATCTTTATGCAAAGTATAATAATGATCTATCAGATAAAGCAATCATACTCGCTATAAATGATTGAAATATAGGAGAAGATATCTATTTGTTAATGTGTCCCTTCTTAAACATTCCGATAATTATTATTGCTAAGCCAAGCTTCAGAATATAATTAAAATAAAATATTTAGAAAAAACAAGTCTAAAGTATTTTATAATTTATTTTTATTTGATATACTAAAATGATTCGATTACAACTATAATATGTATGAACAAAGTCCTCTATTTCATCGTAATAGGTAAGTTACAGCAATCTCGCCTAGAACTCATCTCTAGGACAAACAGACAAAAAATCAAATAAAACAAAATTATTTATATACTAGAGACTTATCCTAGCTTTGCTAGGGTCCGTCTCTACGTGTCTCACTATAGTCTTTCTGCTTAAGCCAGATCATAGTATATGTTTTTAATTTTATCCAAATCCCTCCAGTCGTTAGAGTATTAAGGAGTAACAAACATACATACATACATGCTCATACCAATTTTCACATCTAAAGTAGTAGTCCGATTAGTAGTCGTTATGTAAGTAAATTAAAATTAAAAAAAAATAGTAATTTCGCGTCACTTTTAAATTATATTCGTTTAGTTTTAGCAAATATGGTTACAGATATTAAAGAAGTTAATTTTCAAGTTAGAGATAACACATTGTGTTAGTTATAGATAGGCATAGTATATAAGCGACAGAACACAAACATTTTGACATAAATCAATGTTAACAGCGCGAACACCAGAGCCTGGAAGTACTCGTTGAAATAAAATCTAAAGATAATCTACTTAATCATAATTAATACATTGAAAGTGCAAAGGAAATAAACTAATCCTACGTGCGAGTGTGAAGCTGTTCTGTAATCATCCCTAGATAATGATAATTAAAACGTTATAAATACAAGAGCGAATAAACCTTTGTCATTTGGTAAATTATCATGCTGAGAATATTTTCAGTAGTGACCATACTAGTTTGTGCCCAAGCATACCCTGCTCTAGGAGAAGAAAATGGACTAAATAAAACTATTATAAGAAACATAGTAAGTAGTTATGAGCTTTAAAAAGTTTGTCTCATAGTATTTAATTATAGTTATACATACCTATAATAAAATTCTAACCGAGCTAAATCTGTACATTAATTTTTTATTGGAAAATCTTATTGAAATAGTTATTATAATATATCGATACCAAATTTATAGTTTTTTGGATTTTTTGTCTGTCTATTCATCTGTCTGGGAACGCATCACGAGAAAATCACTGGACAGATTTTTAATGTTTGGCTTGATGATAGCTGGTTATCCGGGTCAACATATAGGATACTTTTTACTGCGGGAAAATTTTTCATCTCTGAGAAATTCTACCTACCTATTTATTTCGTGCCTTGTAAAATGAGAAACAAAAAATCTGAGCCTGCATGAACAAAGGTATTTTAGTGTTCCTGTGCGTATGCGAGCTGGCACAGACTTCAGAAATATCTAAGTTCCTTCTAAGCATGGACCTACATTCAAAGCAATTTGGGATCAGGCAATATTCTATTACGTTGACCACTTGGTCAGTATGGTGTCTTTGGCGGACCTCCCATGTATTACAATATTTATATATTTATTTTATTCGCAAATAAGCGTATAAGAGGACACCCTGAGTTCGAACACATTTCACTTGGTTTTTCAAGCGAACACGTTACCACTGGGATACGAATACTTTAGAAAAAAAATCGTATAGATATTTTTTTACTGTTTTAGCGCTTGGAACTCTGTTTATAACCATTTAAACAGCATTCGAACTATTAGTACGTATTTTAAAAATCTTTTCCAAAAAACTTAATTGCTGTTACTTTTTACCAAAATTCTTGGTTCTTTAGATAATTGTTGATAATTATTTATGACAATATAGGCATATGTAATAGAAAAATTGACGAACGAACAGTTTTTTAGACAAAATTTGTATCGAACAAACACACTGATGCGCATGTAGCCATGCCATAAACGCACATATGCGTATAGTATCCTGGTAAATTGGTTTCTTAACCAACTGATCGTAAATAAAACCCTACAAGTCTCTTGTTTTACACTTGTAGAGTCAGTCAATTCAGCCTTTCCTGAACGAATATCACTAGTTTATTCTTAAATAATACCACCTAAGGCGAAGTTTACTTATATCATAAACAAACCAGAAGTCTCTAAGCCAGTTAACACCCAATAACGTGTTATTTAGGATTTACAATTAATACATATAATAAAAATTACATACAATATGCAGTATTATGTAACAAATCACAAAATCATAATACCAAATATATTAAATCCACGATAAATTATTATTGACAATTAACTAATCTGAGGGACTAAATTAATTAAAAATAATCTGATTGAGATTACTACGTATATCTTAATCGACGCGTTCAATAATTTATTCGACGTAATCAACATTTATAGTATCTTTTTGAATTTGAAATGCATGTATCAGTAGGTTATAAATTATTATTAAGTTTTTTTATTGATAATCTTGAAAAATATAATATTGAACCGCCATTTTTTTTCAGAATGAAAGAATAGCAGAAGATGGATATTACTCCGAATCCCACTTTGTAGTTACAAGCGACTGGTATATCCTAGAAATAAATAGGATCCCCCTCGGTCGCAATGAAAGTAAGGATACGCTTACAACAACTTCGAAGCCAGTCGTTTTCGTGATGCACGGCTTGCAAAATTCCGCTATATCCTTTATCGCTTTAGGTCCGGAACTCAGCATAGGTATGTACATAATTATAGGCAAGATAAGTTTTTAACAAATCCTTAAAATTTAAATATTCACAATTTAAATTGTAGGTTAAATCTTTTGTAAAATGGAGTCAAAATAATATGACTATTTTTTGCAAAAACCCACGATAATCTAAAAATTTCAGCCTACAATCTCGCTGACAATGGCTTCGATGTATGGCTGGGCAACGCACGAGGCGTTTTAAACTCACGAAACCATATATTCTTGAATCCTGATGACCCCAAAGACAGGAGAGCTTTCTTCGACTACACCTTTGAAGACATCGGGATGAAAGATCTTCCAACGATGATTGACTACATTTTGGCTCACACAAAAAGACAACAGCTTCATTATATCGGACATTCTCAGGGCGGAACCTCTTTCCTGGTGCTTAATTCTATGTTACCAGAATATAACCAGAAATTCATCTCAGCCCATTTGCTCGCTGGCGTGGGTTATCAATATTACTTCCCTAGCAGAATTTTAAGCCATGCCGCCATTCGAACGGATTTCATTTATGTAAGTAGAAGTAAGCCTTAAATTTTGCTTTGCTTGGGTGTGCCCCTAACACTGAATACTATAAGAATGCATAAATGACAAACGTCCAAAAAATATCTTTTTTGAGCCAGAAACTTTCGCAGGAGTATGTCATTATCACAATCGGTTCAATGCAATTTAAGAACGCACAGAGGAAAACATACGAACATATTTTTTATTTATATAGAAGAAGATAGATGATTATGTTTTTTAAGTTACTACGTATTTATATAATTGTATATTTATTATTTATGAAACATTTTTTGTTATAAAAAGTCAGTATGTTTTAACATGTTTATTGTAACTATACAAGGTATCTTTTATTTCCTCAGAACTTGGCCGTCAGAATGGGTTTAATTGAAATTTTTGGGCCTAGCTCGATCGACGTAGACGCCAGCAGTTGCGATGAAGAATCCAGAAATGATGAGTGCGGTCTTGCAAATATTAGAGGCTTATTGGTAAATATTTTTTTATATTTATTTATTTATTTAAAGTAATTTCTTAATTTTTTTTTAATATTCTCACTCAATAAAATTTTTACATATCTAAATTTATAAATACACTTTCAGGGAGAACTTGGGAATCTACAAGAGATGTTAGGTGGAGCGTCTATTAAGCAATATGCTCACTATGGCCAAAACATAAGAGATCGTACATTTATGCGATGGGACTATGGTCTTCTAGGGAATTTGTTTAAGTACGGAAGATTTTCCCCACCATCGTATAGGTTAAGTAGTATAACTGCTGATGTTACTATGCACTACACTCTCAATGATATCCTGTTAGATGAGAGAGATGTGCGTATTATGGCTTTAGTTATACGCAATGCTAAAACTCGTAGAGTAAGTCGGAGGACATTCAGACATTCAGATTTTGTTACTTCCCCTGATGCAAAGGAATTGGTGACTGATTATATCATTGAAGAGTTAAAAAAATTTAACCGCTGAGCCATTATTATAAGTTTGCATATATTAGAAGTTTATATGTATATAGAATATTAAATAAAATCGAGTGTTCTTATCAGAAACGGAGTGTTACATTGCTCAGAAAAATGTTTTGATTGGAACTCTTGGAGAACTAATGTACAAAAGTAAATATTATAAGCGTATGAATAATCAAATTATCTGTGTATAATTATTATTATGTAATCAGCGAAAACAACTGATTATAATTATAACATATGAATATTGTAAAACGAATCATAAATTAAATAGGAATATCACAATGTATTTTTTATATTATTTGCTCTACATTTAATTTTTATAAATTACTTAAAAAATGGAGGGTGGGGTTAGGAGTGTGAAAAATATTTTACAACCTATTCTCATACCTACTAAATAAATATACAAAAAAAATCGGTCGAGCCGTTTCGGAGGAGTGCGACCAAAAACACCGTGATATATTTATTTATTAGGTATTTCTGGACACTTTATTATAGGTATTTTAGAATAATTACTTATAAGTCAGTGTCTAGTCTTAATTATACTGTTTAGGCTCTAAGATAGATAGAAAGTTTTTGGATTCTCTGTCATTTCTGAATGAACAGACATAAATACGCATGTATGTAAATTAAAAAGTTTAAAATAATAAAAAAAATGCTTAGAGAAGCCATCGAAAAAATATTTACTAGTTTTAATTGATATATATTTCTATTTTGCCCTTCTCAAAAAGTTGTATTTTAAATAAAACTATCTTTTCGGATTTTTCCGCGGACTTACTTTCTGTTCTCGGTTCCCGGCATTCAGAATGCTTTACAGCAATCATAGTCACGGGAGGAAGGTTTCCGATGTCTCAAAGATCAGCGGTCATATAAAGTCGTTACAGACAGTGCCTGCTGCCTACACAAAAAATTACAAAAAGATCTCAAAAAATACCAAAACGGCACAAAAGTACCTTACAAATTTGTGACGATGATTGCTGCAAAGCATTCGAAGCGTCGGGAATTGGTTATAATGGCTTTTAAAAACACTTAGAAGAAAGCAAATTAATTCAAATTTAAATTGAGAAATTAATTCAGAAAAATTAAAAAATACTATATTCAAATATCTAGTAATATAAATTACAATTTATGAGAAAAAAAATACAACATAAAAAACGTAGTTCCGCCGCTGTATAAAGGGTTATATCGACTCGCGTTACCTCTTTGTACTGTTATGCTTATTTTTGAAGATAGTGTCAGCCAACTTTTGGATGCTGAGTCATTTCGTTTGAAAATATTTTTGATTCTATATTATTTATATACATACTTGCAAAACCTGCGGCTTCGCTCGCGCTAAAACTGCAAAAAAATCTCTAAAAAGGTAGTTTCATACAAACTTTCATCACTTATTTTACTCCCATATATGATAAATTTCGAAAAATGCTACTACACGTATTTATTTAATTTTATCGAAGAGCATTAATACCAAGTTTCAAGTAATTCCGTTCATAATATTTTTTTTGGATTGTATTATAACTTGTTTTCCCGTGCGAATTAGATAATGTCCGGCGGTAAGAAGTAGCCTATGTCACAAATCCAGCAATTCAATTATCTCCACAATAAAAATCACGCCAATCGGTCACTCCGTTCGATGTGAAAGAAGCACAAAGAAACAAACAAACAAATAAACAAACACACTTTCACATTTATAATATTAGTAAAGTATGGATAAACGAAATATATTTTAAAAATTATAAATAATACTAGGTAATAAAAACACAATTAATATTTTTTCGTTCTATGATATCGCTATGATAATAAAATACCCCGGGCATGTTATCTATGACTATATCTTAATATTATCTTATCTTTCACTATTATAAAGAAATGCAAATGTTTGTTTCTTTTTACCCTACTACGGCGACGCTCAAAGGAGGGTTATGTGTTTGACCTGTATGTATGTACAAGTATGTATGTCCGTTCCTATGTTCCCTCGTTATTACTAAACGGTTTAACCGATTTTGATGATACATGCGTCATTCGATTCATCTTGATAACACCAGTATCATAGGGTACATAGATATCGCTAAAAATCAAAATGGTGGATCCTACGCACCAATTTGTGTCTTAATTTTTTTTTATCCGAATAAATCGAGTAGGGTATCAAAATACAGGTGTTTAAGAGGCGATTACAAATATACAACCCATATTTTTTAAAGTAATTTTGGATAATAAATTGTTAAATAAAACTAAAAATGTCTAACTGACCAAAACTAAAAAGCTGTCAATAAAAAAAATATTTACATAAATAAAAAACCCGACTGTGTAAAAAGTGAGCTAAAAAGAAGAAAAGAAGTTGACGAAGGAACGTAGAATTATGCAGTCGGAGACATACCTAAATATGTACATGTTTTAGAATAGCTGCGTGTGTATACGAGTATGTCTCCGACTGCATAATACTATAATACTTTTTTTAATTTGTATGTTGGGAAATATCTCTAAGGTCACTGAACACATCTATGGCGCTTTTCTTACTATTAGTAAAAGAATTCTTTCATTTATACACTGTGCGTAACTCTCTAAGTATATACCAAAAATAAAAAAATTTAACCAACTTTAAAGCTATTTCAAAAAGTTACCGTGATAGCTTCCGACCAGTGGCCTTATTTTCAAATGAAACGGCATTTTAAAGAGCTTAAACAAGTGATAGACATTTATTTTCGACAGAAGAATTTGAAATTCACTTTGTTTCTAAAACTGTATTAAAAAGATAACGGTAGAGGAACGCGATAAGAATTTTTGAGGAATGCTACAAAAGTAACTGGTAGAATCGAGGTAGAAAATCTTACTACTATATAAATGCGAAAGTTTGGATGGATGGATGTTTGTTACTCAATCACGCCGAAACGGCTGAACAGATCTGGATGAAATTTGGCACAGAGATAGATTGCAATGGGTGACTTTTTATCCCGGAAAATGTACGGTTCCCGTGGGATAGATTTGTTGTTTATTTTTCACTAGCGACGGAATAGAGCAAAACGAGGGCAAGCCGCTAGTGTATAATAAATATGAAACAGAAGAAAATAAATAGTTTTACAAATCCTAATAGGTTCATTTTTATTAATAACGTTTTAGTCTAGTAACAGTGAACAGACATATAGGTATAGAATACAGTTCACTATAAAAAGATTTCTGAACAATTATGCACAAAACACTTTTAACACTTTTAAAGAGTACTTATAAGTGATCAAAAGCTCTCATTTTGTGGTGTTATTAAAATACTCGTAGCTGCTATCAGGGACATTAAGAGGATAAATACCGACGTTCGGTGGCGCGTAGACCCTAATGAAGGAAGTATTAAGGCGGCAAAGTCCACTAAAATTTACGGGGCCTGAGACCAAACTGAAAATTTTTATGTATAAGTATTATGACATGAAATTGTTATGCCAAGCATTATTTGTAAAATATCACTATGTATAACTTTACTAGATATTTCTCGCGGATTTCCTTTCTCGCATTATTGTTTGTTCCTTTTTCATGCCATAAGGGATGAAATTTAGCACAAATATAGATTATAGTCTGGAATAATACATAGGCTACTTTTTTGCCGGAAAAATGTACGGTTTCCGTGGCATAGGTTTGTTATTGTTTTCTAGTAGTATTTTCGCTAGTATATTATACGATATTTTTTTTCAAATGGGATTAGTAGTTTCTGAGATTATTGCGTTCAAACATACAAATATACTCTGCCTCTTTATAATAATAGTAGCTTAAAGTAATATCTAAAATAGTATATAGATAAATGATATTAGAGTCAATAAAACTGACTCATGCAGTTAACGTGTTAAAGTATTACTTTTATCTAATCATGAGGCATTATTATTATATACGAGAACATACATATATTATAGTTAATTTATTTAGCAGTAATATTTATTTATTTTTTACATCCAATTAGAACGGCAGTGCCACTTACACTAACTAGATTATACATTATAAAATATTACAAACATAAAATACACAAACAAAACAAAATATAAGGTTAATTTATTAATTACTCCACTACAAGGTACTAGTCCTGCTTCACTTTGCTTACTTAGTAAGATTTTGTTATGTCAGGAATTCCTGTGTTGCATACTCGTTAATGTCAAAATACGTAGAAAGACATTTATACGATGGAAGTGCATAAAAATGTGACCAATTATAAGAAAATACGTAGGCTTAAAGTAATAGCTAAAATTATACAGTTTCTTCTATAATATTTACGGATTTTATAATTTTGAAAGAATGTAGGAATGGTATCGTACGTAGACGTTATTTCTTTTATTAGGGTTGTTTACCTCAAAGATAAAAAGGTACAGGATCACTTCTGCCTTTGCCCTTCTGTCTATCTGTTTTTTCATTACCCTCTAAAATTAAGAGAGAACTTCCTTTAATAATCCACAAATTATTATTGTATTCAGCCCTTTTTAACGTCCCACAGCTGGGCACGGGCCTCCCTTCAGTAGGTACGAGAGGAATCAGGCCATAGTCCACCACGCTGGCTAGGTCAAATCACCGCATTTTACATTCATTTTTATGACCAACAAAACAATTTACCCCATAAACTGTACCTGCCTATTCGAGTCTGTGAAACATCGATAAGTTTTTGATAGTAGGTACTTTCGATTGTGATAAAACTTCGGTCAGTAGTTATATGAACACCCGCTAAGGTTTCCGAAATAGAACTATCAATAATCCATACTGTAGATTTCGCTATTTTAACTTATAATAAAACAGTTATTAATTGATTATACTGGCTACACTGACGACGCGAATGCACAAATTATAGATATAATCTAGTGGCAGTTAAAAATTTCGAAATCGGCAGGCCGAAAAAAGTAATAGAAATAAAAAGAAATAGAATTTAAAATAGAAAAACGAAAGGCGATTGGTAGTCGGAGAGTTGACATGGGTCGATGCGATCCGTGATTTTTAACTGGAAAAAGGAAATCAGTAAATATTGAGAATAAGTATTTCCTAATAAATTGTAATTAAATCTATTTAAAATTTAAAATATATAAGCTTTGAAAAATGATGCTGACTTTTCTGAGATATTTTACAATAGGAAGAAGTTAGGTTAAATAGCCACTAAGACAATAACCCACAGAGAAATGAAGAAGCGATGGGGATGCTGGCATCCTACATCAAAAATGTCAGCACCCCACATAAAGATAACCCGAGGGCGCATCATCAACTTGCAGCTCCTATAGCTCCAAACAGTAGTCATGACGGCTCATCTAGTCTTATTTATAATTTATCTAAATCGAAACGTGAACGCGAGGTTATAAGATTAATTTTTAAAACAAAAAAAACGAATATCACAAAAAATGAAACAAAAACTCATAAATAGACACACACAGACAGACGCACACAGTGGTCGCATACTTACCTATAAACAAACAGAATCAAACACTAAGTAACTACGATATATGTACGTATGTGTATGTGCATATATACTTGTATCAGTTTACACCCAGACGAAGCCAGAACTGGTTGCTAGTATGTTATATACTTAAAATGCCCTCTATACATAACATAAAGTAAATACCTATTTTATTTTGTAATTAAAAGCGAAAATAATGCGTCAAGTAATTAAAAATGTCTGTGACCAAATAATCTTCAACCAATCTTTAATTATGCAAGTATTTGTATTTATCATTATCAGCTTATCTGATATCAAGTTTGTACAGTCTAATGAACTAACTCTTAATTGTTTTATGCAGACAGTGAACCTCGTGATTTTTTACAATATATTATTGTAGTAGTCAGGGCCGGATTTAACTTTAGCGCCGTCCCTGGGCACTGTAAAAAATGCCGCCCTATTATCGAAATTTTAAATAAAGTGTTTACAATTTAAATTTTTTAATTATTATTTTTCGAAATATGCAGAAAGATAACAATTTGTAAATGATATAAATTTTTCGAAAAATGTACTTAGAAGTTAATCTTTTTTTTTTGGTAAATAAAAAATAGCATTTTCGATAACACGAAGAAAAAAATTTTCCCACCCTCCGAATTTTACGGCCCTAAAAATTTGCCGCCCTGGGCACTAGCCTCGAGTGCCCCTAGTATAAATCCCTGGCTGGTAGTAGTATTATTTATTTATTATAATAATTAGTTTATTTATTATAATAATACTTAACTGCTGCACATTTGACGACATGTTTGGCTCAGTTTGAAGTGACCTCGTTGTAGTTAAAATCCATTCAGTACTTTTTGTGTTAAAATTAAATAGAGAAAAAGACAAAAAATTCAATATCTATCGTTTTGGGATCTATATTCTGTTTATAATATCTACGAGTACATAGCACTGCTTTTTTTAAATACTTCATGTACAGATTGCGCTTTGTTACTATTATTATAATGTACCTAGAGGTGACAAATATTAGCGTAAATCTGAGAAAATACACATTATTATTCTATTATTAGTTTGTCTCTCCTTAATCTGGCTGAGAATCTCTTGACAGAAGAACTTAATAACTAAACCGACAGCCCAACCAACCACCATAGCATTTTAAATATGTTGGGACATTAACACACAACACCATTTAGTTCCATAGTAACCTACGAGGCTTATGTTATGGATACCAGATAGTTGATACACTACAAATATATAACTTTTTTTAAATACATACATATATTATAAATGTAAACACCCACGACTAGAGTACAAACATTCGTGCATCACACCAATGGAAGTCCCCAGCGGTACTCGAACCCGCGATCGCTGGCACAGTAAGTAGGATATATATATATATATATATATATATATATATATATAGTCAATAGAATAAGGAATTCCCAGACCAAAAATTTTCAGTACTTATCGTTATTATTAAAAAAAAAAGCTTTGTAATTTCGGAATATTTACAAGACAATATTGGTTTAATCACAGTCGTAAATCAATAATAATCTTAATTTAGATAAAACAAACATATCGAATTGAAGCAACCGTAAAATAATCTAAGATCCTGATAATTTACATATTATAAATACACGGATGAACTATAAAAAATTGTCATTTATTAACTTAAAATGTTAAGAATAATTTCTTTAGTGACCTTAATTTGTGTTCAACTTTTAAACGCAGACGAAGTATCATGGAGTTCAGGGGGGAATTACGATATTGTAAGTAAATGAAGTGTCGTAAACAAATTTATTTAACTCTTTTTGACGTCCCACTGCTGGGCACAGGTCTCTCTTCAAAACGAGCGTGATAATAGCCATACTCCACCACGCTGGCCAAGTGCGGGTTAGCGGGTTCACTTGTCTTTCGAAAACTTGTTAGGATCTCTCCGACATGTAGATTTCCTCACGATGTTTTCTTTCGCCGGAAGACAAGTGGTAATCATATTGAAAATGATTCGCACATGACAATATCAGAGATACGAGACCCGGGATTAGAACCCGTTTAACTCGGTTTTCCAAGCGAGCGCGTTAACACTGGGCTACCACTGCTATAAATAATAGAGTCATCATTCGTTTATAAATTACAAGCAAGGGGATGACAGATCTGATATTTTAACTTTTTTGGTAAAAATTCCCTTATGAAAAAAGAATAAACAACCGTACCTATCTAGTAAAAATAATCTAGTTGAAAAAACCATAGAACATATCATATGCTTCTTATATTTACCAATTATCATAATATTATACTTATAGCAATAGTACTTATAGCAATAGTACATATAGCTTAGATATTGGATTTTCCATAATAACCAATTTTGGTTCCGGCGGGCAATTTCACTTATAATACACAAGCTCTAGTCATCGTCACTTCATTCAGGGTTCGTCCCTTGTGAAGAACAAATCTATCCAACGGGAACCGTACATTTTTCGGGATAAAAAGGAACCTATGTGCTATTCCGGGCTATAATCTATCTCTGTGCCAGATTTCATCCAGATCCGTTCAGCCGTTCTGGCGTGATTGAGTAACAAACATCCATCCAAACTTTCGCATTTTTGATTCATGGGATTTACCAAGCATATTGATTTATTTTGTTAAAACTGAACTTCGAACTTGTAGCTTAAGTTTTTGGTATAAAGAAATGATTTATTCCATAAAGCTTTTGCTTTAGACAGTTTTATCAAAAGAAAACCATTAACGATAATCTAAGAACGATAATAATTACGTATTTAACAATAACAAAGAGAATTTCCTTGAGATATTTTCAACGAATATTATACAAAAAGTTATATTTGGACATTATACAAGAACAAGACATACATACATATGTATGTATGTTTGTATGTATTATATAAAAGCTTGTAATTATGGTGTGATTACTGGTTAGCTTAATGACGATTTCTTCCAGACCCATGTTGGTTATACACAAGAGGTATAACCAACATGGGTCTTGAAGAAATCGTAAATGTACAATACATTTACTCGAATATTACACATCTATACATGTAATAAAAGTGTAATTAATCACTGTCTGTACATGGAAGATATAACAATTATTTTTAGAATTTCTGTCTGTTTTTCTTGGCGTGTGTACGCGCTTATCCCAGAAACGGCTTAACCGTTTTGGGTGCGGTTTCACAGATGTACTTATTGTAGTAAGCTTCACTTAACATTTAGTATTTGTTTTATTTCAATCGGTTCATAAATAAAAAAGTTATATCAAAGTTATATATAGAATCACCTAGGGACGAACCCGCGCAAGTCGAGGATGAGTGGCTAGTTTTAAATAAAAAATATTTTTTTTTATTTTTTCGCTAATTTATATAAGTAATTATTTTTAATCGTACTTGAGTTATAAAACTATAAAATACAAAATTCGCTTAATCAATAGGATAATTAAGTGCTAATTAAAAAAAATCTAAATGAGCAAGAGATATTTAATAAACATATTAAAATACATTACAAATAAAAATGCATAATTTTCTTTTACAGTCAGATATATTATAACTTTTATTTTCATTTTAGGAAAAAAAAATAGCTCAGGATGGCTTTTATTCTGAAACACACAAGGTGACGACGAGTGATGGTTACATACTAGAACTGAATAGGATCCCTTTTGGCCGAAATGATGATAAGAACTGTGCAGGAGTAACATCCAAGCCAGTTACCATGTTAATGCATGGATTACATGGTGCCGCTGTGTCCTATATACTATTAGGTCCGGAAAAAAGCATAGGTAAGTCATCATGAATCGATAACAGATACTAGGGATAATTTAAATTAGAAAAACACAACTTATTATACATGTATGTCTACTTAATAATGGCATTCGAGATTATTTTTTTCAATAATATACACAAAAACATTTTTTCTACAGCTTACAATCTTGCTGATAATTGTTTCGATGTATGGTTGGGTACCGCAAGAGGCATTATTAACTCACGCTATCACGTTTCCTTAAACCCTGATGACCCTAACGATCAAAAGGAATTCTTCGATTTTTCTTTCGAAGACATTGGTATGAAAGATCTTCCTGCTATGATCGATTACATTTTGAATCAAACTGGAAAGTCACAGCTTCACTATATTGGACATTCTCAGGGAGGAACTAACTTCCTTGTATTAACTTCGATGCTTCCTGAATATAACCAGAAGATAGCGTCAGCTCATCTCCTCGCAGGTATCGGTTATCAAAGTAACTTCCCTAATAAAATCCTACGATTAGCGGCATACAGCTCTTCAGCTATTTATGTAAGTATTATATATGTAAATTTACGTTTTTTCTATAAATACCTGTTTTAACTAAATCGAAAAATTAATTTAAAACATTTTTAGGCATTCGCGGTTAGGTTGGGTCTGATTGAAATTCTCGGTCCTGAGTGGAATAACATCAATATTGGGGAATGCACTGATAACAACGAAGCATGTGATCTTATCAGCGTCAAAGATGCCATGGTAAAAAAATATTTTTTATATTAACACAAAAAAAAACTTTAACAATTTTTTAACAAATAATTTATGTAAAAATTATTATTGCAGTCAAAAATCTTCGGACCAATAGAAATATTAGCAGGAGCCTCTATCAAGCAGTACGCTCACTACGGACAAAATATCCATGATAAACAGTTCAGAAGGTGGTACTACAATCCTATCACGAACCTAATTAAATACGGAAGTTTAGTACCTCCAACGTATAATATAAGCGGAATTACTGCTGACGTTACTTTGCACTACACTATGAGTGATGAGCTGCAAGCCGAGCAGGACGTCTTAGCAATGGCTGAGACTATGGCTAACTGCAAAACCCGTAGAGTGCCCCGTGACGGCTTCTCTCATAATGACTTCGTTGCTGCCGACGACGCTAAAGAGTTGGTGACAGATTACATCATAGAAGAACTAAAAAAATACGATAACTAATACAGGGATATTAAAGATCTAATTATAAGAAAAACTTTTTATTTCAAGATATTCCATCGAAAAAAAAGTTAGTAAATTAGTTAATGAGTAAAATATTAGTTAAAAGTAATCTTCCTATATATAGGTTTAACCCACTACTTGAAGCCCGAAAACCATTGGCTCCCAAATAAGTACTCCTATTCCTTTTCATGTCCTTTGAGAGTTAAATTTTCAAAATCCTTTCTGGGCTACCAATATGATCATAGGAATAAGATGTATTTTTTTTAATTAAGGTCCAGCGTCCAAAATATTGACGATTAAGCCAGGAAATTAATAAAATTTGTAATTTATTTATGTGAAACCAAAGGATGCTCTCCGAACTGATTGTTTTTAAATACCGATTGTGTAATAAATATCATGAATATTATTTATACTTTTACGTAATAAAATGCTAATAATGTGCAAAAGTATTAAAAAAAATACGAATATATTTATATAATTTATATGCGATATTTCTTTTCCTTCTCGTCAATATAATGTGGAAAATAAAACTATATTTTGTGGTCAGTCACCACAATTTCTAGAATATATAACAAAAACTTTTCATAGTGCATATTAAAAAAAATATATGGTGTCATCGTTTATTTACATTTGGAGTGAAATTTAAACATTTCATTTCTCAAAGGACAATGTTTTATTGATTTCGGAATTCACAAGGCTGTATATCTTTTGTAAAAACCAAAGCAGGTTCATTCAAATGGAAATTCAGCGTCTACTGGAGAATGGAGATAGTTCTTAAAACGTTTAAATAAAATTCAATTTAAGGAAATCCAAGGAGTATCGCATTTCACTGTATTCTATAAAAGAGATCTAGGAGCTTGAAAAAGATTGAAAGTACCACAAATGTTTATATTTAACTATAAAAACACAATGACAAGTATTATATATAAATAGTTTGTACAACTTTTTTTTTCATTTTTATCTATTAGACTAGCGACTCATCTTCGCTCCGCTCGGGTTTGTCCCTAGTTACGTTTTAACGTTTAGTATAGATTTCTCAGAGATAACATATTTTGCCGCAGTAAAAAGTATCCTATATGTTCTGTATCGATAATAATGTCTATTTCAATTAGATTTTCCAAAAAAATATTTAATGTACAGATTCGACTTAGTTACAATTTTAGGTACTGAAAATTTCGTCGGTGTCGGCTTATGTAATGCAAACATAATTATAATCGAACAAATCATTTAGATTTTAGATACAATTTCGTGACGTACTTATATGTATGTGTGTTTATTTCTATCGGCGCTATGTTTACAAAAGATAATATTCTATAATCTAACAAAAAATTGTTTGGAAATAACATATAAATTGTTCTATCAAATACTCGTAATATATTGTGCTCGTATATTTTTAAGTTTTCTATTAGGAACATCGATTGTAGAAAACCAATTACCTAAAGAGTCAGATTTGTTTTACCTTGCAACGGCTGGCACCGACTCTAACAATATAATTAGATTAAATACTTATTGCAAATAAAAAACGCTGCTCAGTTATTTTTTACATTTAAGTGCCTTCAAGTATTTTTTATGAATTTCTAGTAAAAAAATATGTTACAATAATATACTGTAGGTAGGTATGCCAAAGCTTAATGGCAAACAAATCGCATTTTCCACGCAAGTCAAATACTTGGGACTAACATTAGACCAAAAACTGACGTGGAACCCGCATCTAACTGCAGTCCTAAGCAAAGCCAAGATGGCATTGGGAATAAGTGGCCGCATGTTTGGTAAAAATTGGGGGTTAAATCCCAAAAACACACTTTGGACTTACACTGCTATTGTGAGGCCAATTATCACGTATGCATCGGTAGCCTGGTCCAATAAGGCCAAGCAGACGACAGTCATTCAAAAACTAGACAGCCTACAAAGAACAGCCTGTCTAATGACCACAGGAGCCATGTCTACGTGCTCTGGTCAGGCACTAAATGCATTACTCGGGCTGCCACCTTTAGACCTTTTCATACAAAAGGAGGCAAAAGCCAGCATGCATAGAGCTAAAATCCAAGGCAGAACTCATTGGCTCTCACGAAAAATGAGGACCCTACAGGACTCATTACAAGAAATGCCGCTACTTGGTATGACGACTGATGCCATGTTAATTCGGCACTCATTTGTAAAGTATTATACAATTGAATTTCCGTCAAGGGAAGACTGGACTAAAAGCCAGGTAATCCATAAAAACGGATCTCTCATCTGGTTTACAGATGGCTCAAAAATAGAAGCAAAGGCTGGCTGTGGGATATATGGAGAGCGACCGAGGTTTAGCAAAAGCATACACCTCGGACAATTTGCCTCTATTTTCCAAGCAGAAGTCTATGCCATTCTAGAATGTGTAGAAGCTAATTTGTCTAAGCACTACACAAATCAAACTATCTATATAAATTCAGATAGTCAAGCTGCACTACTAGCGCTGGACTCAAACATAGTCTCATCAAAGTTAGTGGAGCAGTGCATGGACCGACTAAACCTCTTAGCAAGAAGTAACAAAGTAGTGTTAAGATGGGTACCGGGTCATGCAGGTGTAATTGGCAACGAGTGTGCCGATAAGCTCGCTAGAGGGGGAGCTCTTGGCATACAGCAGGGCCCTGAGCCCTTCTGTGGGATACCTAAGAGCCTAGTTCAAAGAACCCTAATGATAGCATGTCTTAAGACTGCGAACAAGACCTGGACTGAATCAAATGGAATGAATCACTCCAAGGCATTAATTAGAGCCTACGACAAAAGGTTTAACAATCTTATGCGAGGGCTAAACAGAAAAACCTTACGAATACTGGTAAGGGCCTTTACTGGACACTGCTGCTTAAATAAGCACATGTTCAACCTGGGGCTGAGCGAAACGCGAACCTGCAGAATTTGCAGGGAGGCAGACGAAACGCCACTGCATCTTCTGTGGGAATGTGGACCGCTCATGCACAAACGTAGTATTCATCTAGGTAAACAATTTCCAAGCCTAGATGAAATAAAAGAGTGCAACCCTAAGAAAATCCTGCAGTTCTTAACATCAGCAGGGTTTAGTGGTTCACTCTAGTACAAAATAGCGGCGATCACAATAGACCAGAAATGGTCGCAGTGATATAAAAAAAGCCGCCAAACAGAAATAAAAAAAAAAAAAATATACTGTAGGTAGAGATCACGTAGGTACAGATCCGCCCGCGTTCAGGTGACCAAAAGCCATATTCTTAGGTTTTACATATTAGTTTACTCTTACATTGCAGTTTTTGTATTTTTTCTCAGAAATGATATATTTTCCTGCGGTAAAAAGTATCCTATATGTTGACCCGGATAACCAGCTATCAACATTCTAAATTTCAACAAAAACCCTCCAGTGGTTTTTCTGTGATGCGGTAACAGGCAGACAGACAGACAAAAATTCTAAAAACTATAGATTCGGCTTTTGTATCAATAAGGTTTTCCAAAAAATATTTAATGTTCAGATTCGGCTTAGTTACAATTTTATTATATGTACCTACATTCTGTAAAAATTATAATAATTAACTATCAATCATTCTAATCAACAAACCTTTTAATTCGATTATTTACTTTATGAATTCACTTTATCAGTGGTCAGCACGTTTTCAGGATTTTGTTTCATCATATACCGCCAGTTTGCAAAGTAATATTTTATCGCTATTTTGCTTCTGTTATTTATTGCAGTGGCCTTGTCTATACTATAACAAATGCCCCACGTTTATCCTCCGAGCACCCAAGTTACGTAAGTATTAAATAAACTGAGCACGTGCATCCGCCCGTCCGACAAAGCCCATTTGCTCTCACGTAACAATATGATTTTTTTCAAATTTAGTATAAACAAATCCCATCAAAAACATACTGTAAAAAATTGCAAGTCTCGCAATGCATTACTTCTACCGCAAAAAGCTATGAGATATAATGTAAAACCAAGTCGGTTAATTTATTCATTACCTATCTATGGAAGCATCTATCCGACAACTTTGTCATAAATCGTTACCGAATTAGTTAAGTTACAACATTTTATAGTGACCGTATTAATATTAGATATATTTATTTTTTTAATTAATAGAATGACTTGGCCATCGCACGGAAACATAATCACATAAGAGTCTACTACTTTAAATAGTTCTAATTAAACATACCATGACCAAGGTGGACCGACGACTTGGTCGAAGTCGCTGGAGCCCACTGGATGCGGATGGCACAAGACTGGTTGTCATGAAAATTTTTGGGGGAGGCCTATGTCCAGCTGTGGACGTGTTTGGGCTGAGATGAACTGAACATAGCACTAGCGGGTCAAATTTATGCATACACTAACATAAATAATGCACTCAGAACGCTAATATTAGGAAAATTTTGTTATTTGTAAGTTCTATTATCATGTGCGATGGCCAAGTCATTCTATAAATTAAAGAAATAAATATATCTAATATTAATACGGTCACTATAAAATGTTGTAACTTAACTAATTCGGTAACGATTTATGACAAAGTTGTCGGATAGATGCTTCCATAGATAGGTAATGAATAAATTAACCGACTTGGTTTTACATTATATCTCATAGCTTTTTGCGGTAGAAGTAATGCATTGCGAGACTTGCAATTTTTTACAGTATGTTTTTGATGGGATCTCATTTCTTTTTGTAAATATTTCTTCTTTTTCTCTTTTTTTTACTATTTCTTGTGGGTCAGCTAAGGTCTTTTTAAAAGCCCACTCCTTGTCTCTGTGGTCTTTTTAGAGGCTTTGATATAACAAATTTTGACAAGTCTGGATGATAAAAAATCTAAATCTATTGTATTGGGAAATTGCGGATTCCTGGACTTTAATACTACTATCTTATGCATTAAGTATAAATATGTATAGTTAATTTAACGAATATTTTAATTTCATTGTTGACCCTAAATGCCTACCCCGATACTGATATTCAACTTACATAAGTTTAATAAGACGTGTAGATTTATGTGTCTATCTGCAGCATCGTAGTT